ACGTGTGTGTCGGTTTGGTTCTGCTGCTACGTGTGTGTCGGTCGGTTTGGTTCTGCTGCTGCTGTGTTCTTTTTTGACTCCGTCCACAGCGAGTGGTGTTGTNGCGTTGTCGTGGTGGTTTGCTTTCTAAAAACAAAGGCCCATTCTCATTTTTGGATACGTTCCCATTTTTCCCGTAAGTCTGTTACACGTGTGTGTCGGTTTGGTTCTGCTGCTACGTGTGTGTCGGTCGGTTTGGTTCTGCTGCTGCTGTGTTCTTTTTTGACTCCGTCCACAGCGAGTGGTGTTGTGTTGGCACGTGTTCAGACCAGCTACCACGCATCTCCTCCTCTACAGCTCGCGGCTTTCACTATCTGCATATCACAGAGGGTGTTCGCGTGTGGTTTGCAGACCACGACATGGACAAAACAGCGTGTTCCTATGTGTGCGGTGGGCTGTTAGTCTCCGCAGCCCCGGTTACCGGAACGCACGTACCAGGTTTCGGGCGCGGTATAGTCCGCAGCCCTGTTAAGTGTGTTTATCCCATTCCACAAAAGATGTGTGTGCTGTAGACTACAGCACCGTGGGTTGCCACTCCGTGTACATCCACATCGTGCGCTGCTCAAGAGACCGCATGTTTGTTGGCAATTCCTCACCACACTCATCCGATCATGACCAATGCTCTAGTGTGAGAGTACATGTTCGATTGGTCAACCATTTTGGCGGTTGGGGGCAGCCCAAGGCGGTCGGTCGCATTTGGTCTCACACAACAGAGCTGTGCGGCATGCGCAAGAAAAAAACGAAGAAAAAATCTCCGCCTTGTCTATTTTCAAGTAGTGCGACGGATTGAATCCTTGAGTATAGACTATAATATATGAAGTATATATATATTATTTCCTCCCATGATTGGACTCTGTCGTCTGCCCCTCTGGACCCTATGCTTCACTTCTACTAGCTAGACGACCAAACTGGGGTCACACAGGAGAGGGGGGTTGGACCCCCTCCTGCCATATATATCGTTGGGTGGTTATTCTTAATGCATCCAACTCACTTGACCCTTGGTTCCCAGGCGAGAGCCCTTTGAGTCACCGGACCGGTGCACTACTCACGTACAGCATGTAAGTGTACGCTGCTGCATGCTGCTGTACGCTGCTGCATGCTGCTGTACGCTGCTGCTCTACTAGAACTACGCTGATGCTCTACTAGAACTCTACTCGTCTTCTCTGCCAAATCTTCTTGTTCGTGAACCCCGTCTTGCACTGTAGACTACACATTCTTCAACCAAACACCGTGCCAACCACGAAAAATAGAAAACGGTTGAACCCCAGGCCATGGAGAATCATTTCCACTGGGTCTACCCCTTTCCTACCGAGCGATATAGACTACAGCTGAATACAGTGAGCCTCGCTGGTTCCCGCTGGTAGCCACCACTCTACAGTAGATGCCGGAAACGTTCCATTCTACAGTAAAGTTTGAAAGCGACAGACAAGCGCAGAAACCTGCACGCTGAAGACGGTGTGAAGTTTGCTGGTGCCTACTGCACAAGCGAAACATACATGAGTGTCTACATAATAGGGCCACCCCCGGCACGACGGCAGCGAGGTGGAGCATGAACAAGTAACTGCGGCAACATTGTGGAAAAATCCCGCCTAAGTGAACCAGGACCAAGCCGACAGTTGGCGCGAAGAAGAGTGAGATGGAGTGGAAGTAAACCCAGTGAAACAGCACGAGTGCGGAACGGGCGAAAAAAGAAGACCACCAACAACGCGGAAAGCAAAGACATAACGCACAGCAGTCCGGACTTAGGAGTGGAAGTGGAGATCAATCACACCAAGAACCGGAAGCCCATTCAGAGAAGATATCTGAAAAAGTATCGAATTCTGACAGAGCGGAATTCGACACATCGATAATTAATTGCAACTGAGCCTAGAGCCCTTCGCTACTTCAAATTCCGAATTTAAAAACCTAGTAAACCCGAGCCCAGAGCGCTGTCGAACGGCACGGGACACACTTGATGAGCGTAAATAACATTTCTCGACTTGTTCGGCGGACAACGTTTCCCCAAACACTACGTTGATCTCCTACTCAAGGTCCAGCCACGAAGGACGCGACCAAGGAGACTCGACAATTCCTTAAATAAATTTATTAGAAGTCTTAACACATCAAGTGCGAACTCTAGTACCCGTTCAACTCGCCACGAAAAGACGTACGAACAGAACATACATCACACGCAAGATTTACTCGTCCGGACAGTTGATCGTCGTCGTTGTCGCAAAAGCTTTATCGTCACGCAAATCAGGTGCTCTCTCTCGACGAGAGAGCTGCTCCTCTCTCCACTTCCACAATGCAAGTTACCCAGCTGGATCACACACGTATGATAGTAGGGACCTCGGGGGCCGGACCCCTCGCCAGACGCTGCTGGAAAAAGCACTACTGTGGGGTGCCTTAATAGTGATCCAGCTGGGATTCTAACCTTAAAGAAATATCTACCTTGCGAGACGCGCTGCGTTATTCTATTAGATGGGACGGAAATAGACAATCGGGGCGGTTGGAGCCAAGAAAACAGATTCACGCGCATTTACGTGCCGTCCGCATGTGCAGTGAACCAATAGCTCCGATCACAAAAACGAAGCAACAGGATGCTGATGACACCGTGCATCATTCCCCTGGCCTAATAAAGTAGAATAGTATGTACCGGAACATGTGTAGCATATATGTAGCCTTCTGACTCAGAGGATGCCATAACTTTGCTAGTTATTTCTCACAATCATCCGGCGGCAAATCAAAGCACACAACCATCGTCTCTATTACGACTACCAACGATATAACCGTCATCCACGGGTAGTTTCTCGCTCGGACGTACATATTGCTCCATGCTGTTGCTGGCGCCCTTCTCCAGGTCGAGATCCGAAACTGTTCTGAAAGAATAGAGGGTCTTGGTCGTACGACTGCTGCTCTCGACGGAGGAAGTGCTGGTTCGCCATCGTCCCTCTTTCCTCGTCGTCGTGTCGCTCTCGGAAAGCCTTTTGGAAAAAATAGCCACGATGTCCTCCAGGTCGGCCACATTCTTCTTCGTCGTGTTGTGCGTTTCGCTGCCGCTGCTGCCCATCGCTGATGACGATAATGATGAGAGGTTTGCGGTCTCCTTCGAGGAGAACCCCAGGGCGTTCCGCTTGCTCACGGGTTTTGGGTGAAGGGTGCGGCGCTCGTCGTCCTTGTCGAGGCCGTCTTCAAACTTCACAGCGTGACCTGAAAGGGCCTGGCTCGCACTGCCACATTCTCCAGGACACGGGAAGCTGTGGCCCCCAGGACGAAAAGGAAAGAGCGCGAAAAACATGCACCTAAAAAGCGAATACGACCTTCATCATTCGTTATCGTGTGTACATGCGGCAAAAAAGAATCTAATGGACTCTCTCATGTTGTCCGATCACCCCAACCGTGCACTTGTCGATGTCCTTCTCGCGCCTTCAGGGTACATGGAGAGGGTTTTCGCCTGGTCGGCGACAAATCGACGATGAATATTGCCTGGTATTTTGGAGGATATTGATGCATCGATGCTTCACGCGTCGAGACTTTCACGTACTTTAACACTACCTAGTCTCCATTGGTATGTAGGTGGCACTCGTTTTTACAATGTGCTCAAGAAGGCACGCGTTTTTTTCATGTCCTGCGTTTGATTGAAAACCTTTACACTTCCCGAGCTTTTCTACCATACGACCCAGAGTGTTGAGCTTAACGATGTTGCTGAAAGACTGAGAATCGGTAGCCTTCCGGGGCAGTTTTCGGGTGTGTTGGCGTGTTTGCAACCAAGGACTCAGAATGCACATCACGACACAGCGGTGCTGGATAGAGGTCAGATCTATCGGCTTCTATTGTGAAAGCGCAATGACCGGAATATGCACCATCGACGATACCTCAAGCCTCGATGATGCACTGATTTTAACAGGATGACGACGTGCATATATGTGTGCTTGGTTGTTGTTCCTCATTCTGAACGCCTGCACGAGTCTCCAGGTACCGCTTCATTCAGGATGTGGACGAACACACTAACCTAGAACCTTAATTCTCTTCATCTATGGCACACAGATGGTAGTATTGTTGTATATCGGACTGGGCGCCGGTGTTGAGATTGCCTGCCACACCCTTCAACTATGAGAGGACACCGTCAGAGCTCCGCACTCCCACACTTATGCGCGCCCACGAAGACATCTTCTGTTCAAGCGAGTAATGACCGCGGGCCGCATACCTGTTGAGGGAATTCCTGCCGCTACTCCCAGTTTGCGACAACTCCTCCTTCTCTTCCTCCTTTTCTCCCTCGGGGTTGCTGTTGCTCCCTTCTCCGTCGTCCTCCTTCTTGTCGGAGGATGTCTTGATGTCTCTCCATGTCCTCCATGGCCAGCTGGCACTACTAGAAAACTGCTCCTGCAGCAAAGGCGGCATTGCCTTGCGCCGCCCGTCGCCGGCGCCAAGCGATCTGCTGCTGATGGGATTGACCGTCGTCCGAACCTGATCCTCGGGCAACGTTTTCGGAGCAGCTCCCTGGTAAGCAAGAAATAGGCGTGCGGACGGGCGTTATGTACTGTAGTTTTTAATCAACAACAAAGAGAGGTGGTTGTCCAATACGATGAGCGCCGTCGAACGTGAAGGGGAAGAAAATAGTCCATGTCCTCGCGAGAATGCCTTGAACAGTGTGTGAAACCCCGCGAGTGGGGGGGAGCAAGCGCGGAGAACGGGATCGTGCCCAAACCAGGGGTAGTGTCTACTCTAATTGGACGGAACAGTGTAGCCACCGCCACCACCAATGACGCCGACAGCAACAGGAACGTACCTTCCCTGTGATGTTCCGAATTTTGCAGCTCGACCCTGGCCACAGGAAAGCTGCTTTCACAAACACCCTTTTGTCGGGTGTTGGGTGAACAGCCGTAGATCGCGGTACCAACGGCGGAAGAAGGAGGGGGTAGGGCACAGTGCAGGAGCATGGAGGTCAAGAAACGGGTCTCAACCAATCGGAGCGAGTACGGACATACACCGTACCGACACCACTTGCAGCGTTAGGCGAGACAACCTCTGCGTAATTTCTTCCGAAAGGGGCGGAGAGAAAGCACCCCCCCTTGACCGATTTTCGAAGTTCGCTTGCTTTCGTGCTCACACCAAGAGCGGTGGCTTAGAAAACATCTCGACCAGGGCTTCCCGTAGAAGTGCCGGGCTCTGTCTGCACCTCGTTGGTTGTGGAGCAATCGGGGTACAATAGAAAGGGTCGTCTGATTGGGGTGTCATCTCTCCTCCTCATGCGATATCTCCTTGCGGGATGTTGCGCCGGCCGGCGAAAACTGAAGCAGTCAAAAGACTACAACATATCCTTCCAGGTCTATGTCCTTTATGTCTGTAGTGCCCGACAGATTTCCTTCAACCTTCGCTGTGAAGAATCGTACACATTGACGTTCCCCGAGGGGGGTGTACTCATAGGGGGTGTACTCATAGTCGTGCATGCCGTAGTCGTTAGACCATTGACCTCGCATCCCTACAAAGCCGGGACGGAGCACGCCGGGTTCTCACCGGACCAGGCTCTCACATCACCAAGCGCGAAGCGCCGTGAGATATTCGGCGAGTCGCATGAAGGGTGCGCTGCATCCTGCCAAGGGTGTTCGGCATCTTGTGCTTACTTCCTTGCGTACGGATGACAGCTGCGTATGACTTAATTTATTTTCTGGTGCTTTCACTTCCAGAGACAGTTGTAAGCACTGTGTAACTGCCTCGAGGGTGCTTGACCATTTTAACACAACGTGGTGCGATCATCCCCCTTGCGCGGAGTGAGGGTTCTCCACCCCGCACAACATGATCTACTCGACCACCATTATGGTTACCGCCAAAAAAAAAAACGGAGGTAAAAAAAAAAAACGGTAACCTGGTTGCCGAGTTCACGAAGTGAATTGGCTTGTTTTACAACGTCGTTGCCAAGCGACGAAAACCCAACCCCGATGGCAAACACCGGGGGGGGCGGCTTGTTTTACAACGTCGTTGCCAAGCGACGAAAACCCAACCCCGATGGCAAAACACCGGGGGGGCCCGAGGGGTGGGTTTTTTGGTTCGCTCAGCAGTGGGTAGTACCAATGCGACGGCATAGGTGTATTGCTTGTAGAAGATGCGCATGCATTAGATGGTGCTCACAACAACATAACAGGGCGGACGGAGACAATGTGAAGAGTAACATGCTGAGTTCTTTCCGGCGAAGAAAACTGTAGCTCATCTGGAAACCTGTTTTCAAATGCATCTGTCAAATTCATTACTAAGAAGAATTTACGAGCACGAAAACTGAACAACGGTCGGACGAATAAGCACACACTGGGCCACGATATCGACAAAAAGGACAACAACGGGCAAGAAGAAACGCGACCGGACGAACAAATGCCATCGGTCTCACCGGTACAAGACACAATAGACGCACAAGTCGCGGAACGCCCGAAGGCCGGAGAAGACCACCAGGACTGACGCCACCCCCAACATGACTACGAGCTGCCCTATAAACGCCGCCACCGTGCAGCCGGCCGCCAACGTCAGCCCTCCTAATTCGGCGAATCTCATCGAGGACCCGGGAAGAAACCTGACCACAAGGACAAAGACGATGAAAGCAGACGGGGTTAGTACTCACGACGCCTGGCATACCCCACTATGGAGGACCTCGTGGAAGTACGTGTTTGGTTTTCCTATCGTGCGTGCCTTTTGCAGAGCCTCATGCAAAGTCGCACCAGCAGCCGTCTCGAACACAAGATACGGCTGCCGTTCCTTCTGTGGAATGGAAGCATCTGTTGGACCACTGAGGTGAGAATTGGAAACGCATTGTGTGGATGGTAAAGAGATGCAGGGGGAAGTATCAAGAGTGATCAGGTTCAACTGAGAAGCAACTCCGTCCAGAAAGCACCACCGAGCGTACGTCCAGCCACTAAAACACACAGCTGACGCCATTCCGCACGAAAACATGGACGTGCGAGTTGTCAGACGTCAACGTCGAGGACAGCCCCCATCCTCGATATGGGGTGGTCATTGCTAATCCACACAGCTCGAGTTTCGCGAAAGGTGGGAATTTGCTTTCGTGCTTGGGGGGGGGGGG